AATATTGTAGCGCACAGTACAACAACAACCGTTAAATTAAATCGTAGGGCAAGTGATTAATTCGATATTGTCAAAAATATGAAATAAAATTAATAGAGTGTTTTTAGAAACCACTTTCATAATTATGGGCACATAATACATTGCTATGACTTGTCAAAAATTGTCAACTATTTTTGTTGTCGTTGGTATACTTTCTAACACGTTTTTATTCACTCTCATCTCACTTTTGCTCTATCATTTTTGTCTTTTATCTTTCTCGTTGATGCTATAAAAAGCTTGCACATTGGTGGATAAAAAAAAAAAACGAAACAAAAGCTCGAAGAGAATTTTGTTGAACTTGTGATTAATGATGGCCAACTGTTCTTTGCTGTCTGTCCTGTCCCTGTTCAAAGTTAAGAATGAGAAAGATAGAAAACATTGTATTACGTATGCGCTCGAATTAACTTTTAAAAAGGGAAACTATGCAGAGTTTGATCTTACCTATTTCCCCTTCCCCCTCATCACCACCACCACTTACGAAAGATAAATGATCGACGAATGAAAAGAAAATGAGGAAAACCTTCTTCTTCTTCTAACCAAAGAAAAGAATATATATATAGAAATATCGATGATAATAAAAAAAAAAAAACCCAATGGGGAAATTAAATGAAACGAATCAAAAGTGTTAATGGTTTGCTCGTACCGACGATGATGTTTCGTTAAGTTAACGTATTCACGCGAGGTGGTAATTATACCTTGGAAAAAGATAACATTGACGATAAATTCGAATACGTTTATTACACGTGACGAGTTCTCTTTTTCTCTTTCATTTTCATTTATTTCTTGTATTTATATAAATTGCATTAAAGGACGAGGGTCCACTTGGAAATAACGAGCTTTTACATTGGAGTGTACTTATCCGTGCGTTTATATCTCGAGTCGAACGTTAATTAGAACTTACGGTTTTTACATACGTATACGAGTGGTGTTTGGGCTGGGCTGAGGAGTGAGAGGTAAAAGAAAGAATAAAATACAAAAAAAAAAAAAAATAAAAACCAAAATTATCGTCAATGATTAACATTAGAAAAAACGTATCCAAATAAAAAAAAATTGGTTTGCCTAAAGAAATGAAAATAAACTTGTCCATGCACAAGTAGGAGGAAAGGGTTAGTAGTCTCATACTTTTTCAATTGATAAAAAGGAATTGTACGTGTAAAAAAAAAAGAAAAAAAGAGCTTTTCTCTCGCACGCGAAAAGTGGCCTGGGATTGGAGTCAACCGGTCTCGGAACTTTGCCAAAACGTTCGTCGTTTCTATCCGTACATGAGTGATATCCACCACCCACGAGAGGATTTGACCAAACCCTTTGTTTCTATTTCTCTCTATCTTTCTCATAAGTATATTTACTCAAACATAAACGTTGTGTATATTTCGGTCTTGTCTAGACTACTACTTGTCTTTTTTAACACCCCCCACTCTCAACCCCTGTTACCATTTTAACTTTGTACTGTCTTGTTAGAATTTTTTATACCAATGATAGGCAAACAAATGTGAACGCATGACGAGACAAATTTGATTTTTCTTTTTTGATTCGTACAACTCTCATTTTTATCTACCTAACAATAAATGAGAGATCATTTTGTTACCAGGGGGGTGTAGTTAAGGGTAAGGGTTCTTATACACTTTACTCAGAAGTAGAGAATTTCAGTAAGAGTTCGTATAACGTTCGGACAAATGAAAAGGACGATCGAAATCATTCGCTTGTTTCACGCAACTTTCCTCGTTATTCCCAGGTATTTCTCTCGACGAGAGTACGCTTCAACTGAGTGAAAGAAAAAGAAATAGAGATAGATAGATAGATAGATAGATAGATAGATAGAAAGAGAGAGAGAGATAGAGAGAGAAAGACCAACCCTGCTGGTAGATTTTCTCCGAGTGGGTGTTGCTTGCTCTGCTGTACGTTTGGAAGCCGGCTATACAAAGCTTCAAGGCATTTTGAACAAAAGTAAACGCTCCAAGGGCTTTTCTCTTCATCTCTCGATACAAAGTACACTTTTAGTTAGAAACTTAAGAAAATTTTCAACGATCTCATTTCCCATATCTTAATTAAACTACTTTTATTATTATTTTGCGTTCAAATATCCTATTATTCAAAAACAATCCGACACTAACGAGTTTTGTATATCATAATTATCGATTGAAACAGAAAAGAAAAGAAAAAGAAAATCAGATTTTACTTGTTTTATGGATAACTCCAAATTCAATAATATAATCTTAAATATTCGACGTAGTATTTAAACAAAAACAAAAAAGAAGAAATCTCGATCATATGGTTCGCATCTGAATAGACAAAACAAGAACGATGATGATGATGATGATGATTTAAAGCTTGCTTTGAAAAACAGATCTGCTTGTACGTGGGTGGTGGTGGTGGTTAAGGGGTTGAAGGAAAGGGGGAAGATAATCGTTATGACAAGAGATAGAGAGGATGGTTTTTCTATTCTTGAGTCTGGAGGATCGTGTTCAACCAGATGCCTTCCCTCTCGATCACCTACGATAATCCAGGAAGGGACAAATGCTTCGCACATGAATACACCATTTGTGTGCTCACAGAGAGAGAGAGAGTGTCCCACGTTTCTCACTTCTCCTCCTCCTCCTACTCCTACCCTTTCTGATCTTACCATCCTACTACTACAACTCTTGCTCGTATCTACGCTTGGCTTCTTTTCTTTTTGGATGTCGTCGAGTTGACCGTGCCCTAGTGCCACTCATGTCGGTATACGTTAAGTACACGGCAGCTGTCGTTGACAAGTGCTAAGCTACGGGCAAAAGGATTGACACTGCACTGCACTGAACTGCACTGCACTGTACTGCATTGCATGCCATGCTACGGGACGGTACGGCACGGCACGACACTTACACCACATTTCCACACGCGAATTTATATTAACACCACCACCACTAACACATGTTAAGGTCAAACGTAATTTTCTTCAAGAGGTTTTCTTACCCCCATACCATCGAACACACCCCTCTCTCTCTCTCTCTACTCGACATTCATCCTAAACCCCTAACCCCTTTCTCTTTTCCTACCAACTTGATTAAAATCAATTACGGCTGGTAAGTTGCATTTACAAAACAACTTCTCTTTAACACACATACACACATGCTATTTCAATTAATTTTCTAATTCAATCTAGGACCGTGTCGTTTTAGGATTTCTTTTATTATTATTATTAATATTATTTTAATTATTATTTGCATGCGAGATAACCGACGACGAAAGGCTCAATTTAATTATGGGCTAACTGGCAAAAAAAGAAAGAGAAAACAAAAACAACAAAATATAATATTAAAAGGAATATATATATATATATATATATATATATATATACATCAGCTATCTACGTAGGTAAAAGGGAAACGAAAAGGAAGATATATACCGTGTTTCCTCTCGTCACGTGCGTTATTCTGATTTCCGGCTCGGGACAAGCGACTCGTTTAAAGCCGGGGATTCCCCCCTTTCCATCTTTCTCTCTCTCTCTCTCTCTCTCTCTTCCTCCTTCTCTCAGGGGATAATTCAATCGAGATTTATTCCCAGCCTGTTCTCGGGGCTGGTCAGGAACAGAGGACGCAAAGCACTCTTGACTACGACGAATACAACAGAAAGAGAAAGAGAAAGAGAAAAGAGAGATGAGAGAACGTATTCGGACATTTGAACAGGCCCGGGAGCTTCTCTCTCTCTCTCTCTCTCTCTCTTTTTTTCCTTTTATTTTCCGTTTATCGCTGGCGGCAATATTCCGAAGGGGTGACGTCATATCCTCCAAAGAGAGAGGGGGGACACTCACCATCGCAAAATCGAAATCAACTCAAACTCCTCCTCATCCTCCTCATCCTCATTCTCCCACCTCCTCCTACTGTTCCTACTTCTCCTACTCCATTCGGTTTTATTCTTTTTTCGTCACTCGGAACTAGTAGCAGTGAAACATACACACCGACCGACACAGACACACACAAATACACAAACCAAAGCCATTTTTCGTGATTCGATTGATAATAAGTGAGCGTTATGAATCACATTTGATGTGTGCTTTCTTTCTTTCTTTCTTTCTTTCTTTCTTTCTTTCTTTCTTTCTTTCTTTCTTTCTTTCTTTCTTTCTTTTTATCACGTTTCTTCTCCTCCATTTACGTTATTGATTTTTAAGAAATGAGAGAGAGAGAGAGAGAATGAACGAAATTACGTTGAAGAGAGAGAGATAGAGAGAGAGAGAGAGAGATCTGTGGTATCAATCGTTCGTAGTTCTTTCAATTTTGGAGATGGACGAACGTGATATCATCCTAGCTATATTTCGCACAAAATGTCTATTTGCACGGTTCTCTCTCTCTCTCTCTCTTTTTCTCTTTTTCTCTCCTTTTTTTCTCCCCCCTTCGAGTTCGCCAGCCACTTGGAAAATGAAATGAGGAATCTTTCGAATGCAATAGCGCAATTCTTCGATAAACGAAAGAGTCAAAAATAAAAAAATTGGGAGAAACCACAGAGAGAGAGAGTAAAAGAAGAGTCAAGAAAAAAAAGTCATATTTGGGATTAAACAATTTATTAAATTATCTTTTTACTGAAATAAGATGAAGTACCTCGTACGATTATGAAAGTGGTCTAATGGTAAATCAAAATTTAAAATAAAATAATAAAATTATCAGTTATTAAAATGATATAATTTTATGATACGAGAATAAATTATATCTATATATTATAGTAAATAAATATTATATATTTTAAATAAAGTAATATTATATAATATATAAAAAATTAACTTTAAAATAAATTTATATATTTATTAAATTATATATCATTATATATAATTAGTTAATATAATATATTATTATTAGTATACAATATATACTTATTATAGTATATATATTACAATAGATAAATAATATGTAAAAAAAAAAACACTTGAAAAAATCGATTTAATTCGAATGGAATATTAAAAGATGAATGCCTTTTGGTTTTGTGCGTTACAGGTCCACCGGGGAAACCAGGTCCACCGGGTGAGCCAGGGAAAAAAGGGAAGAAGGGCAAAAAGGGAGATCCCGGAGAGCCCGGGCCGCCGGTGAGTACTGCACTCGATCCAAAGCGATCGACTACCAACCACCACCACCACCACCACCACCACCACCTATCAACCCCCTTTGCCACTCGAAAAGCACGTTTCGTTCCTATACCATCCCATCCCACTTTTCACCACCACCACCACCACCACCACTACCTTTCCCTCGAGCCTATATCGTAGCGCACCAATACACATGCACTTCGTAGAAATGATACAACCGCAAATGCACGAGCATGACTTAGTACAGTAGCCTAACGGTATACACAAGTCCATTCTTAATCGCGTGAACGAGGACGAGAAGATAAAAGGACAAGAAGAATGAAAAAAAAAAAAAAGCAAAAAAAAGGAAGACAGGAGGAAGAAGAAGAAGAAGAAGAAGAAGAAGAAGAAGAAAAAGAAGAAGAAGAAGTAGAAGAAGATGAAGATGAAGAAGAGGAGACGAGACGATTATTCTCTTTTTCCATCCGTTCCGCCATTTCTTTCATTTTCTTTCGTATAAATCAAGAGAGATAATACCGGTTATATTTACCAGGTAAAATAGGGATCCTCCTTTTCAACGTTAAAACACTGTGAACAACACCACGTATATTTATAATCCTACAATTTAAAAGATAAAAATGATGACTCGTCTTCGATCTTTTTCTTTCTTTTCTTTTCTTTTCTTTTCTTTTCTTTTCTT